TCAGCAAATAAAACTATTATATAGCATGATAAGGGCTTATCCCCTCCTCAACCTCATCTTTTGGGAACCACTGTGATGCAAGGCCATATATGAAAACTGCTTGCATCTGGAAAGCATATAAATATATGGACAGGTAACATGTCCTATAATAACTCAGTAGGTTTCCAGGTCCACTTACATAAGAATCGTTCTATATATATCTTGGCCTGTGTCCCCTATCCATATCTCTTGCTGATGGGCAAAGTCACTTGGAATTTATCAATTAACCATATTCATTGTGTAAGTAACTGTTCTCTGCACACGTGCCTTAACCACACTTCTTGGCAATTTTTCAATGAAAGCTCACATAGTCTGTACATTCTAAAGGCTCAGACTGAGCTATGGCTTCCTGTGGCTAGGTGACCAAATTCAAGTACTGACAATGCAGTCATTTCTCCGCTGCGATTGGAATTCCTCCCGATTTTGTGTTACTACTATTCCTTTTAATGCGAGCAGACATTGGAATTCATCCTGTAATCTCTTATCTGGCAGTGTCAATATAACCTCTGATCTCCAAAATTTGGAACGAGAAATAACTAATGCGTTCCATGACAGTCTCCCAGAAATGAATGAGGTGGAGATCTTTCGGGGCCTGGCCAATGGTCTCACCCAGTTAAATCCCTTTGAACACCTTAAAACATGGCTTATATCAGTTACTAGCAGTCTATGCAATGTATTATTGGTTGTTGTCTGCTTTTTCATAGTCTACAGGCGGCGGTCCCAAAGAATGAATAAAAAACATCATCATCATAAAATAATGGCGGTGCTGCAACATGTCCGAACACAGCATCCCGTGCCTTAAAACAAAATAAAAAAGGGGGAGATGTAGAGGACACCTTTGTCTGGGAAAGTTTCCTTGTTTCTCTCAAGAATATATCTGTGACCTTGCATGCAAGTCCAGAGCGTCCTCTCTCTGCAAACAGGAGGGGCTAGGGAATTGAGATGCAAACATCTGTTTGCCGGAGACGAAACAACAAGGAACTGGGACGTGTTGAGTCGGGACGGTGTGGGAACAAAGAACTTGCAGTGGGACAGTTGCCAAATAGCCTGTATTATAAATAAACAGTTCAGCGAAAGCTTTTCGCTGCAGCCTCATACTGTCTTGTGGTGTCTGTGTCTTTTTGTACGGGCTGCAGTCATGTGTCTGCGTCTTTATGTCTCTGTGTTCATTCCTCGGTCTGAAGCCGGGCCACGTCACAAATTCCTGGCCTCAAGCAATCCTCCTGCTTCAGCCTCCTAAAGTGCCAGGATTACAGGCATGAGCCACTATGCCCGGTGGAGTCCTGCATTTTTATTTGCTTAATCTGGCAGCCTTATTGTGAACGGTACTCACAATTCCAAACTTGAGCCTAGTCCACAGGTTGCCCACTCTTCGCAGAAGTCCTGGAGGGGAGGTATGGATCAGGCCCTAAAGAAAAACAGTCCATTTCAGAAGGAATTGTAACATCCTAGCTCGGCTGTGGCCTTGAGGTTGGTTGGCCTATACTCCCAGAGTCGCCTGGACATAGGATGCATGAGTGTTTCCTGAGGACCGGATCTGGGACATGCATATACATGCAAGAGGTTGGCGTCGAGCCATTTTCAATCCTGCTCAAGATGACTATGTAAGTCTTGATGGAGTGACTGCTAGAAACCAGACTTGGGGAGGAGGAGGACCAGAGCTGGAGGAAAATCCATCGCCTGCATAGCTGGAGTTATGGTCCAAATTCCAGGTGGAGGCTTCAGAAGAACCCATGAAAATACCCTAGAAAGTCAGCTTGAGACAATACACTGCCCTGGTGAGAGGACGGTAAGCCAAACTGGAGCCTCCACCCCCACTATACAGACACACACAGATGCACACACAACAGATACGGACTCAGAGGAGGGTCAGAAAACTTCATGCTCTGCTGGTGGAGGAGAGATTTTAACTCTAACTCAAGTTGGGAGTTTTGATTAGTATACTTTTACTTCTTGCGTTGAGACTGGGTTTTCAATGAAAACTGAGCATTGTAGAATGTCTAATCACCTAAAGTGATCAGAACAGTCGAGGGATTAAGTTCTCACCTTTAGGATAAGGGAAGGAATTTCCCAGTTGAGCAGGCTTGGAAGGGGCAGTGAGAGGCAAGTACGGTTGGGTCCTACCGTTCATGGCAGCATTGTTCATAAGAGCTAGAAATTATATTTAGCTATGAATCTGTTTACCAAATTGCTTACTGTGAGATTAGAAATATTTGCCACACTAAAATACCTTATATAAATTATGATGCATAATAAAATGCCCATGAGCCTACCACCTGACTGAATAACTAGAACAGTGTCACTATTTTTGACAAGACTTTTGCAGCTAACAGTTTCTCTTCCCCAATCCCATCTGCCTCAAACAGTAACCACTATTTTGAGTTTTCAAAGAATCCATCTGTTTGTCATCCATCTAATCTTAAAAATATGTGGGTCCATATATGTCCCTAAACATGTTAACTTTGGCTTGTTTTTGAACTTTATAGTGATGGTATCATACAATGTATTCTCCTATAGTTTGTTTTTTTCTACTCAACATTGTTTCTAAGATTTGTCAAGGCTGCTGTTCCTTAATTTTCTCCTGTCTAGAATTCTTTTGTATGATAAACCCACTTGTCATTTATCCATTCTCTTGTCAAAGGACATTTGGGTTGTTTCCAGCTCTTTGCTATTATGAAGATGTTGTGAACCTTCCTGGGCTGATAACTAGGCTGCACGTTTTTTTCAGAGTGCATGTCGAGAATTGCTGAATTGTAGAGAGAATGCAAACTTCCCCAAGCGGTGCGTGAATTCCATTTGATCCACATCATTGTCAACAGAGTGTCGGGCTTAAAAATTTTTGTCAATCCAGTGAGTGTAGAAAGGTATTTTTATTCTACTCATTGTTAGGGTGGGAACTTGTAGCTCAGGCTGAGAAAGAATTCTCGACACAAAGATTAGAAGTTTTAAAGAAAAAGTTTATTTTACTTCCCAAGGGAAGAGCATGACACAAAAGAAAGAAAGAAAGAAGTGTCGGTGGGGAGGGTAAGGGGTTTGGGTTTTTATGGGGAAAAAAAAAAGAAAAAAAAAGAATAGTTATGGCTGTCAGCTGAAAGCAGAGTGCAGCTGTGAAACGGCTGCATCTGTTTTTCCTTTTTTCCCTCTTCTCTGTGAGGCTGGCTTATCAGTCTCCTTGGAATATGGTCTGGGGGATGTGGGAGGGATCTCACACCCCTGCTGTCTGCTTAGGAACTCTTCAAGTGCTGTGAAAAAACTCTCAAATAAAACAGTTTAAGCCCCAGGTGGTTAATCAAACAAGGGCCAGTTGTGCAGTGACTCTGTGGCTTCTGCCAGGTGCTCAGCCCCAACTGATTTGTGCAGGGTGGGGAACCATCCTGAGCTCTGGCGCAGAACAGATTCTGGGACCCTGTGCGCCAGGATTGCCTGTGGGGCTGATGTGGGGATTCTCCAGGCCACACTCAGCCAAAGGTCTCTTTGCACAGGAGGGGCGGGAAGACTGCAGTTGTGAGACCCTCGGCAACCAGCCCCCTTCCTACACCCTTGTGTGCTTTGACTCTGTCCCCGGCCATGCCTGTGGCTGGTGGCCTGGGGGAACACTGCTATTACGTGAAAGCAAGCCTGTAGGTTTCCTGTTTGAGTGAACCCAGTGGAGATGCTACCAAGTCCCCAGTGCACCTGTAGGGCATTCCTGAGGTGTGTTCCGGCTGGGGCTGGGAGGAGCTGGCTGCCGGCTGCCACCTAGGCTTCACAGGCCCTGAATCTAAATGCTCTGGGAAGGTGTCTGGATGACACAGCCCTGGGCTAAAGAGAATCATACTCATCATCCCTAGACTCCATCCTGCCCTAGATTCTTTGCAGACCCAAGTTTTGAGACAATTATTACTTTCTGTTTCCATTCTGAATAATAACCTCCTATAAGATGTGTAAATAGTCACAGCATTTTAGGGCTAAAAGGGGGCTTAGAGGTATTAACCCTCTCATTTTACAGGTAAGCTGGCCTGCGGTGGTTAACTACCTTACCCAGCGAGAAAGGGAAGAACTAGGAGGACCTTGCGCACCGCGGGCTGTTTTCCAGGCACCCTCTTCACGCTTGCTTCCGGGATCAGGAAGGAGCCTAAGTGGCACCATCTGAAAGCTCTGAACTGTGCTGGGGCAGGGCCTGCTCTTCGATCCAGCCTCTCAGGAAGCCTCCTGGGGAGGCGGCTGGCCCCCACTGCTGGGGGTTCACTGACCTTACAGTGAGGTTGCTTAGCACCTTCCTCCCTCACTTTTGGCCTTTGCTGCTGTTCCAGGCCTCAGGAAAAAAAATCTCGTTACATTTTGATCAAGGCTCTGGATTAAGTGCTTTATGTGTAATATCTCATTTATTAACTCATCTTTTTCAGAAGTTGTTCTCTAGGTTATAAATGTTGGTTCATGGGTGAAGATGCAGAGTCCGGCGCATCAATCCTAAAAACAAGAGGGTGCGTGGAGGAAGATCCACCAAGCAAGGCTGGTGTCCTTTCTTCCCAGCCTGCCACGCCAGTCCCTGGGGCCGCTGGAGTGAGGCTGAAAGGAGGCTCTGGACCCCAGGGGTTCCCTATCCAGACACCCTCTCCGCAAAGCCCACGACATGGCTCTCACCACGGCGCACTGTGTTTCTAAAGAGAAAGGCCACATTTCATTCTAAGAGCCCATTTCCCTCCATTGATGGGTTTAGACACCTCAGGGGAGACAATGCTCAGTTCCTGCACCTCTCCAGATGGGAAAGAAATGCTTACTATCAGTCGATCAAAAGTTATTTATTTTCTAAAAGTATAAAAAACACATACAAAAGGGACTCAGTCTTGGCTAAAATGAAGAGAAAATATCATTGTAATACACAGCAAGGCCACTGTGGAGAAAGTATTGCTCCCAAACCATCAGTAATTTTAATTACCACTCTGCCCCAGACTCCTTAGAAGTCACTATTTCTAAATTACACAAGGACAAAGAGTAAGCTTTATTAAACCAGACTCATAAAAGTAAGAATTGTGCTTCTCCAGGTTCATAAAATAGAATTCCAAGGCTCTGAGGAAAATAATCTTATGTCAGTCCCAGGGAACTTTTCTCCCCAGGAGTTGATTGGTCACTTTCTGTGGAAGAAAAGAAAGGCAGGAAAGAAGTTAGGTGCTCTTGTCATCAGAGCAGACGCCACTCCTCCCACGTAGCTAGGAGAACCCGAGCCACCCAGATCTTGTTTATTTTACTCAGCTACAGAAACTATGGTAATTATACAAAAAATACATCCAGGAAGGTTTGGGAAAGATGATCTATAATCGATATCTATTATTTCTATGCAGATACAAATAATTTATAATCCTGACAGACTAATCAATACCTCAGTTCGCAAACACACAAGTACAGTGAGAGGCCTGGCCTTGTGATGCTGACACACCAGGCAGGCCGGGCAGTGCCGGGGCCTCCCCACCTGAGGCAGTGGGCCCAGGTTCTGGGGTGTGTTCCAGAAAGTTCCCCACATCAGTCTGGGATGAACTGGTCTTTTGGTTTCTGACTTTCAGAGTCCTCTGAGGTGTAGTGAGGGGGCTGGAAAGGACACAAGAACAGTGAAGGATATGGCCCTTCAGACACAGTAGCCATTCTGGTTTCTCAGGGAATTAACTGGCAGCAAGACGTCTGCTGAGTGAAGTTCTTGGACCCGCAGCACCACTGACTTCACTGGGGACATAGGCAGGAAGTGGTGGCAGCTCGGAGGCCTCTGATCCCACCAAGCTGACAACTCTTATGCCACACTCCGACATTTTCCAGTTTATTTTAACAGTTCTAGAGGTATCTGACTTACTCATGAAGGGCAAAAATCATCATCTGGGACTCTGAAATGTAAATCTAACAAGTTTGGTATTTTGGACATTTCCACCAAGATGTATGAATTGATTCTTTTGTGTGAAATTTGGTTCATTACAAATGTATTCATGGAAAGTGCCTTCCACAATCAAGGCTGAGGAGCTACACTTGATTTGAAATCTAAACACAGTGCCGTAGCTTTCACATTTCAGCACTAGTCCAGCGCATTTGAGTTTAAGTTCACCCTCAAGCACGGTTAATTCTGAGTGAATGCTCAAACAGGTCAGTGTGTTTCTCTCCATTTCTTTCTCTTGACAAAACTGATCCACCCTGCTCTAGACAGAGGACTGACTGACCTTTTTATATAGCTGGGCTCGCAGTCGGTATGACTTATATTCTGATCTCCTCTTCTCCTCTTCTCTCTTTTTCCGTATTTCTGGAAGCTGTTCGTAAATCCTTAGAAATGGCACCAGTAGAAAGACAGAAAGCGGGGAGGTTACCAGGGTGCAGAGGCACATGATCTCCTCTCCCCATCCCTGCCTAAGCTCTCCTGCTTTACAGGCATTCATCCCTCCAGATAGGCCCTTAGACACATGGACACAGAGACCCTGGCCTGGGCTCACAATCTGGAAGGGGAGACAGACAAATAAAAACATAAAATCCTGCTAATAGTGGTTACTTCCGGAAAAGGAGTGGGATAATAGGGGCAGAGGTGAACTTCTGCTTTCCACTCTATGTGCAAACAGGTATTGTTTCAATATAAGATAACGAACAAGTATTGCTATTGTATTTTTAAACACAAGAAAAATTAAGGGAAAGAACTAAAATGGTGTCATATTTACAAAATGCTACAGGAGAAGTTATGGGAGAAGAAAAAACATTCTGATGGATGGAGGTCAGGAGAGACTTCAGAGAGGTGGTTAGGTGTGAGTTGGGTATTTAGATAAATTAGGAGCAGAGAGGGAATAGGAGGAGGGGGAAAGGGAAAATGAGTTCAATTAGGGAAAATGAATGTTGGTAAAAATGGAGTCAAGGCTTCACAGGGAGGCATGTCAGGGAACAGGTGGGAAGGAGGTGGGGTGGGGGTGAGGCGGGCTGTGGAGGGTTTGCAGCCACGTGAAAAACTTGGGCTTTCTCCTATCAGGGGTTGGGTGTCACTGATTTTAAGTTGAGAGGTACACAATCAAATGTGCATTTGATAAATACACTTTAATGGGAAACAATCTAAATTTCCAATAAAAGAACAGTTAAACAGATTATAGAATATAACAGAATTAAAACAAAGCATAAGAAAAGATGTTTCAAGAATTTTTAATGACATGGGAAAAATTTCACAATATAATGTTGAGTAAATAAAACAAGACACAAACCTGTATATGTAGTACGATCAACAATTTGGCAAAAAAAGCATGTTTTATACAGGTCTCTGCAAAACTCCCACACCTCCCGCCAGAAACAGGACTAGTGTTAGGTATGTTTAGATGGAAGGATTATAAGTGATATTCATTTTCTTCTTTCTACTTTTCTCTTTATTTTCTAAAGTTTTCCATAATCTGGAAAAAAAATCATTGAAAATGATGCAGAGACTCTGTAGGAAATAGATCAGAGAAGGTAAAGGAATCCCTTGAAGGACATATGGGAATGAAATGCTTCCAGATAAAAGAGTTCTCTCCTCTCCAAATCTTTTCTTCTCACCAGAACCTTTAAACATCTTTGCTGTAGGTAGGTGATGAGAAAAGATGATGAGTAATAGAAGCTCTGGAGACACGAATCCTCAGTAAGACACAGTTAAAGGAGTAGTAGATGGAAGCCCAAACACCAGGCTCTGACCCCAGCTCTGACCTTAAGTTGCTGGGTTTCTTCCCCTCTCTGGGTTGCAGTTACCTAAAAAATTAAGGATGACTAGATGATATTTAAGATCCCATTCAAGTCAATGAGTCTCAGATGTAAGTGAATCACTTCCTTGAAAAGGGGCCAGATGAGAAGTAAAATTGAATAGAAGCACTCTAATGAAAATGTATCAGTTTAAAGCTCAAGTCTCTCCAGAAGATGGGTACTTAACCCACTTCTATAAGTATATTTATGATTGAAAGAACTGATATCTTATAGAAGATGCCCTGCCTGTCTTCCTGTAGGCAAGCTTCATGGTCCCTTACAGCAAGGGCTCCTATCGCTGACTAAGGTGAGACTGTAATTAGCTGCCACACAATACAGCTGCCACTGTATAATTTCTCCTAATTAAATTTTATGACATAGTTAGAATGAAGCAACGATTCTCAAATTTTCTGGACATCTTCACACTCCTAAAACTTGAGGAACCCAATGTGGATTTTATTTATTGATACCATATTAAAAATTAAAACTAAAAAATTTAAAAATACCTATTTTAAATTCACTTAAAATAACAATAAGCCTGTTATATGCTAACATAGTAACCTATTTTTTAAATGAAAAATAAAGATGTTTCCCAAAACAAAAAAATTTTAGTGAGAAGAGTGGCACTGTTTTCCATTTGTTGCAAAACTCTTTGATGTCTGGTTTAATAGAAAACAGGTAGACTCTTACATTAATATCTGCTTCTGTCATCAGATGTTGTTCTGGTTAAAGCATACATTAAAAATCTGGCTGATACATACACATAGCTGGAAAAGAGAGCATTTTAATATTCTTTTCAGATAACTGTTGATCATCCTTGATGCTACAAAACTTGACAAGCAGTAGTTTCTTTTTTCACAGGCGTGATCACAGCTTACTGTGGCATCGAACTCCTGGGCTCAAGCAATCCTCCCACCGCAGCCTCCCAAGTAGCAGGGACTGCAGGTGCTCACCACCACCGCCAGCTTCAATGAACTTTTTACACTCTGTTACATAAAAATCCGATAGTCTATCTTGTGCTTTGAGGGGACCTTTTATCTATGCCTGATTATCATGCAACAATCATTTGGAAAATCCTCGTCCAATGAGTTATGCAGATCTTCTGAACGTTGGCAAATTTACTTATATCACATGAAAATCATCACATTTGTTAATGTCACTGCTGATCTTATCAGAAAAGTCTAAGTGCTGGGAAGTTGTCAAGCTCATGGTGGTAAATGCAAGTTTTCTAGAATTCCACTATTTGCTTGAAAGTGCGAATTTTCTCTTTGGCAACAAATACTGGCAGCTGTTTTCCCTGAAGTGACAGACTCATTTCTTCATTTTTAAGAAAATGCCTTCTACATGCTCAAGTTGGAATAATCGGTTTATCTGTCAGTTATTCTTTCAAGTAAAACCAGTGTTCCATGAAAAAAGCAGCTATTTCAGTTCACTGTGCAAACCATGGCGTAAGTGTTTTCCTTGAGACAGCCGTCACATTTTGGCCCGCAGCAGAAGTGCTGGGTGCACTTGTCTATGCTGCTTCCACTGTGCTGCCGTCACACTCCTGGCGGGGAGCTGTGAAGGGTGCATGCCTGCTAGGCTCATACCGTTTGGCGTCACTGTTGCGGATAGTGTTCAGGCACCAGCGGTTTCGCTCCTCCCTGCTGCTTTTGCATTATCAATACAAACGTCAACACAGTGAAAAAGGCACATAACGTTCCAGTATTATTTTGAAATTAGTTTTGACCTTGCAAATCCCCTGGAAGAGTCTCAGGAACCTCCAGGGGTCCACGGACTACTCTCTGAGAATCAGTGGATTAAAGCATTCCTTTGAATTACCTATGCGGGTTTACTAAATGGAGAGTAAAAAAAGGTTTCAGGAGGGATTCTTAAATTATACAAGATAAATTGTTTGTATCTTCATTACTTCAGAAGTACTATGCCAACTATACAACTGCTCTTATTAAATAAAGTAAGTCTGCAAAGAACCCCTAAAAAACCCTTAACTTAGTTATTCCATGGCATTCTCATGATCAATATATGCATATGTTAAATTAATTAATTAAGACTAGCTAATGCTTGCAATGGCACAAAATTCAAAAAGTATAAAAAGGTAAAAAATCTCCCACTTCTGTACCCAGCCACTCAGTTCTTTTGCCCAAAGGCAACCACTATTATCAGTTTTTTTGTCTTCCAGAAATATTCTATGTATATAAAAGTATTCACATCTATTTAAGTACAAATAATTCATTTTAAAGACCACAAATGAAGTACACACATGCTTCTGAAACTTGATTATTTTTTGAAGTTTAACTTTATGTGTCTTGGAGAGCGCTCCATTATATCTCACTCTCTTGGATAAATTTCTAGAAAGGGACTGCTAAGATAAAGGGTATGGCCGCCCCAAATAAACATTTAATTTTATTTCAAAATATTCTTTGTTTATATTTAGTTTTCTAATAAAGAAGAGCCTGACTAAGGCATGCAAATTATCAGGATTCTTTTGATCTTTTGTATATGAGTCATTCATACCATGATCTGTTATTTTTTGTCTTTTTTAGTGTCATAGGTGAGAAACTACTTTCATAACTTTCTTATCATGTTTGAACTTCAGCACGATGCCTTTATTCTGGGGGCAAGCCAGAGCTCCTTACCACTTGGTGGCCTAATTCATACTTTTATAATTACTCTTGTTCTTTTGGTCTTACCGTTTAGACCTCTGAATCATTTCCTTCTTCCCAATAGGCCTGTTCTTCTGGGCAGCCAGGAAGACTAAGCAAGAGAAGAGGGGTTTTCAGTGAATAACAACAAGAAAGGGTGTGAGAGGGAGCTGCTAGGACTTTGTGCTCCTACCCTGGGCTGGGTGGTGAGCAATGACCAAGGCCAAGGCCAGGGCTACGGTTAGACTAGGGTGCCCAAAACAGCAGTCTAAGGCCTCCCGAGACATAACTCTCTGCAGCACAGACTAGACAGTTTGAATTGAAAAACTGACAAGTTTATAGGTAAGGTTGTGATGAAAGCATTAGGTAGTGATTTACAGTTTTCACAGCTTTCATACATTATTTTATTGAGATCTTAAACTTAGCATAATTGTTAAAAACACATACTCTGGAGCCAGCCCACCTGGGTTCAAATCCTAGCTGTTTTATTTATTAGGTATGTAATCTTGGGCAAGGAACTTAATCTCTATTTGTTTCAGTTTTCTCACTATTAAATAGGGGTATTAATAGCATCTACCTTTGAGAGGTGTTGTAAACATTAAATGAGAACAGTGTCTGGGCAAGACAGAAAGGCTACGTGAGTGCTTATTATTATTATTCTTACTATCCTGTGAGGTAGGCAAGCCTGGAATTGGCCCCATCTTTAGAGGAAAAAAATTATACTTTTGGAAGTAACTTGCTCACGGACACAGAGCTAGTTTATAAAAAAGCCCTTCTCATTGTACACTTTTGTTTGTTCTTAGAGACAGCATCTCACTCCATTGCCCAGGCTGGAATGCGGTGGTGTGATCACAGCTCACTATAACCTTGAACTCCTGGGCTCAAGTGATTCTCTCACCTCAGCCTCCCCAGTAGCTAGGACTAGAGGTGCGCACTCCACCGCACCCAGCTGGGTTTTGTTTCTGAGACAGGGTCTCGCTCTGTTTCTTGGGCTAGAGTGCAGTGGCATCATCACAGCTCACTACAACCTCAAACTCCTAGGTTCAAGTGATTCTCCTGCCTCAGCCTCCCTAGTGGCTGGGACTACAGATGTGTGCCACCATGCCCAGCTAATTTTTCTGTTTTTTGTAGAGACAGAGTCTCATTCTTGCTTTGGCTGACCTCAAATTCCTAGCCTCAAGCAATTCTCCTGCCTTGGCCTCCCAAGTGTTAGGATTAAAGGTGTGAGCCACTGCGCCTGGCCTGATTTTTCAATTTTTTTTGTAGAGACGGAATCTTGATGTGTTGCCCAGGCTGGTCTTGAACTCCTGGCTTCAAGCTATCCCCCTGCCGCAGTTTCCCAAAGTGCTGGGGTTACAGGCATGAGCTACCGTGCCTGGCCCCTACACACTCTTGTTTTTAAAATACAGTGACAGGGCTAGAGTAACTGGGCTTACTTGGATCACAAAAGTGCTGAGAGAAAAGTCAGTCAGGTTCTGCTAGCTAAGGAAGACTGGAGTCCTGGCAAGCAAACAGCTACTTCCTGTGCACGTAACTGGCCTGGCATTTAGCAGCGCTCCATAGCACAGTGGCAGACCTTGCCTTCTGTATTACACTGATAGGAAAGTGGACAAGCAGGTGTACCTCTCTTGGGCAGCAGGTGCACAGGATTCCGGCAGCCCTGCCATTCTCTCTGAGTGTTGAACAGCGCATCCCGCTCGCTCTGTAACATGCTCTGCAGCTTCCTCTCCTGGACTACTAACTTCAGGCGCTTTATCCGCTCCCCAGAGCGTGAGATGAAGTCAGGTCTGTGAAGCTGAAGTGATTCCTAAGGAGGAGAAAAAACCCAGACCTCACATTAATGAAGCAGTCTGCTCTCCAAGAGCCTAGAAAAACAACCCCTGCCCAACAAGTTTGGACAGCCTGTTCCTAATGCTCAGAAAATATCTAGAGTTGAAGAATACTCTGACACCTCTCTGCAGGGGAGAGCTCCAGCAGGGAGATCGAAGGACTCAAACAAATGCTTTGGAATAAGTCCAGAACTAAGACTGTGGGCAATCACAACTCTCCCAAATGTCGAAGGGATAGAGCTCTGCCCACTGTGCTACTTTAAATTTCTGTTCAAATACATCATCAAATAATATTTCCTTTATCCCCCAAGAGACATTAAGAAGAGACCTGGTGCCTTTTAAATCCTGTGTTAAGCAGGAATAGCAGTTATATAAATGGAGGAACATACATAAGGCTGACACAAACATCAGGCCACTAGGCACTCCACATGCAGGTACCTATAAACCCGATAAACTGAGCCGAAACATCCTCCCTTCTATTGCCTTATCCTCAAATCCTGAGGGTGACTATTTAGAATGGCTAAGAGCAAGGCAATCTTTGATTAAGAATGGGAAACCAAGCCCTTATGCAATGAAAACAGATGAACTGCGGAGGTGCTAGGGAGAGAAGAGGGTCACATGACTAAACCTTAGCATGCCAAGTTACAGACGCAACTTCTTTGTGCTTCGTCCTTCTTCTCCCTAAATATAGGGCTAAAGTTTATTCAGCGTCACTGCACCTGCAGGGTTGCTCTCACGAATGGCTTCAGGGGTTCTCTGCCTGGGCCTGCCAGTGACTCCCGACAGTCGGTGCGCTGCCCTTGCCAGTTCTGCTCCCGCAGTGGCTCCCTCCAGGGTTTGGTTTTGGTTATGGGTTCAAACCAGGAGATACCAGGGCCAAAAATCTTGGGCAGGTTTTCCTTCTTAGATCCAGACTTCACATTTTCCACAGGAACAAACCATGAAACTCCTACAGGAAATATTTTTAAGAAGGAAAAAAGATTTTTTCATTTTTTACAGCTCATCCAACTCTCATCAAACACACGCACATAATATAGACTCTCGGGGGACTTGGCTGTCAGAGGCCATCAGGGTGCCACTAAGTCCTGCTTAACTGTAGGTATATGACTCCAGCTGTGGTGCTAGATACTCTGACAACTTGTCAAGGTGGTGGCTGGGGGTACGTGGAGGCAACATAGTCATTTAGACACAAAGAATCTTAGCATTTCAAGAGACTTGAAATTTACTAGTTTTTCTGCTACAAAATCTGAAATTGGAAACCGACCTTCACAGGAAGTCTGCTTGCTCTTCTTTAACTTTTTGTCCTCAGGATAACTGGTAAAGAGAATTTTCTCTTCATTTTTTTCCTCTGACCAAGAAGTCACATCACTGTCCTCTTCTAATATAGCCTCGCTAGAACTTGGAGTTGGGAAAGTCATCCCAACATCTCGAGTGTGTTTTTTGGTACCATTCACAATCTCCAAGTTACCTGAGGGGAAAGATCACAGATATCTCTGGAAGCAGCCTGGAGGCTTAGTTGACAGGTCTATTCAAGCCAGAAGTGAACTCTTTCTAATGCTTCAAAAATATACTGCCTTTGGGGTGGAGGGGGGGAAGGAGAGAAAGTGGAAAAGAAGAAGAGAGGGAGGGAGGAAGAGGCAGAGGGGGAAAGAAAAGAAGGTTTTTTGTATCTAAGTCACTTTAGATATTAGGGGGAAAGAAGAACTAATATAGGTTCAGAGGGTAAGGCATTTTAGCTCTCATCCCAAGTGAGAAAGAAAATAAACACTGATAGTCCTATTGGCCGTCACCCAGGTAAAGAAGAGGTTGATAGAGGTAAAGACAAGACTTGAAGGGGAGAAAAATATCAAGAGGGCAGTTTATTTACTTTTGTTTTATAAAATCAAAAGGTATAGAAAAGTATAAACCGAAAAGCTTCCTTCTCACTCCTGTTCTCTATTCACTCTGTTCACAATCCCACGTGATTCCCAAGAAGTTTTTTTGCACATTCGAGCAATTCTCTTCCCTTCTTTGTCTTTTTTTTTTTTTTTTTTTTTTGAGACAGAATCTCACTCTGTTGCCTGGGCTAGAGTGTCATGGTTTCAGCCTAGCTCACAGCAACCTCAAACTCCTGGGCTCAAGCGATCCTACTGTCTCAGCCTCCCAGGTAGCTGGGACTACAGGCATGTGCCACCATGCCCGGCTAATTTTTTCTATATAGTTTTAGCTGTCCGATTAATTTCTTTCTATTTTTAGTAGAGACGGGGTCTCGCTCTTGCTCAGGCTGGAGCTCAGGCTGGGCTCAAACGATCCGCCCACCTCGGCCTCCCAGAGTGCTGGGATTACAGGCGTGAGCCACCCGCGCCTGGCCTCTTCTTTGTCTTTTTTAAAAATAAATGCAGTAGTATGCTATATACTGCTCTGTACCTTGATTTAAAAAAAAAATTTATATCTTGGAGTTCTCTCCATATTAGTACAGAGAGAGCTTCCTCATTCTATATAGGATCTCACTATATGGATGTACAATAATTTAATCAAGCGTTAAATATTGATGGACATCTAAGTTGACTTTAATTTTCTGCTACAGCAAATAACACTTCAATGGTTAATTTTGTACATTTGTCATTTTGCACATACATATATATTCATAGGCTAAATTCCACATCTGTGCAATATATCTATAGGACAAACTGCACAAACAAAAATGCTGGGTCAAAGTAATTTAGACAGGAACTGTCAAACTGCCTTTCACAATGTACCAACTTAGACTCCTACTAGAATATATGACGGTACCCATTTCCCTACACTCTTGCCCACAACTTGCCATCAAACTTGAATTTTGCCAATCTGATAGGTGAAAAATAGCAGTTGGATACAGTTTTAATCTTAATTTCCTTTATTATGAGTGAGGTTAAGTATCTTATATGTTTAAGAGCCATTTTTATTTCAATGGAAAAGTTTGACTTCAAAAAATTTACCTGCTTGTACACCCTTGTTTAACATGTGCACATTTTGCTTATTGCAAATAGTAGAGTTCGAGCTCAAGAAGCTATTGGCAGAAGATGAAATAGAGTCAGAAGAAATCATATGGTTTGCCACCTGGAAAAATAAAAGAGATCTTGTTATGGTTACCTGCAATCAATGGCACAGCTAACTCACAGCAGAAGTGAGTCCACAGGTCCCCAGGAGCCCTTTCTTACCCGATTCAAATTGCTAAAATGCAGCTGGAGGAAGCCTGAAACAATGTGAACATGCTGCCATGTATCTGTGCGGAGGAGGAGAATGGTATTGGTAGTTGGATAGGGCCTGAGCTGTTGCAAGACCGTAAGACAAAAAGAGGCTGGGTATATTCTCAGGGCTTGGAAAAACTCTGAAGAAGATGCTAGCCAAACATTAGTCTGGTGCATCTTCAGAAGGGCATTCTGAATTGATACCTGCAAATAATTTTGATGTAATTTTGTAGTATGAAATACTATTATATAAAACAGTATTTCTCAAACTTGCTCATCATAAAGATCTCCTGGGAACGGGCTAACTCAGAACAATGAGTTAGAATCTCCAGGGGAGGGGTCTGGGCATCTATATTTTGAATAAATGCCAGGTGATTTTCTATTTAAGCAAGTTTGGTTGAGGTGAATTCAAGCTCAAGTAAGGAGAGGAAACTTAGCATATCTGCTTCTTTGAATAAGATAAACTATATTCCAGGGCCCTCAGGAAACTTGTAACAGAATCCTGGAGAGGAGGAGCTATGTTAGACATTTGAAGACAGGAAATGTTTTAATTTTCAGAAAGGTAAACATTGCAGACTGGTGAGTTGACCTGTATAATTTAGGATGGATCATCAATCTGATAATTTGCAAGGAATTAGAGATCGAAGGAAAGATTTGCAAATTTCAGCCAGCGCTCAGATAGGCAGGCAGAACAAGCCCTGACAGGTTAGCCTTGTTTTTCCTAGTAGATATTTGGTCACTTGACTGGCAGAACAAAAGAATGTGAGTACACCTAAATTTTAACAGAGTAAGAAAGCATCTCATGGCATGTTTAAGGCAAGGTGAAGTTATATGGGTTGGATAGTAATAGTTATGGTAGAACCATAACTGATTGAACCACCCTTACCCAAATATTATTTCAAAATGGAGAGAGGCCTTTACTGAGTGGTACATCTTGCCTCTGACATGCGACATTTCCTAAGCACCTACTGTGTGCCAGTCACTGGGTTTGGCTCTGGCTATTTCTTAACATTTTATATATCAATGTCTTGGAGATATGGAAAGCAGGAGAATTTCCATACAATGCTTATCTAGGAATGCCTGAGTGGCTGTCAGGATCCCAAATGATAACAGGAATGATGGGCTCAATCAAACATGAAGACGTTCAGTAGGGGCAATTGTAAAATCTTTGTCACTTTGGTTAGGCAAACAGTTATAAAATATAACACCAAAGGTGTGATTCATGAAAGAAAAACATTTAAAATTGGGCTTTGTCATTACTATATTAAAACCATTTGTACTTCAGAGGACACTGTTTTAAATGAAAATGTCAAGCCACAGACTGGGAGAAATCATTTGCAAATCATACATCTGATATAGGACTTATAACCAGAATATATAAAGAACCCTTAAAATTCAGTAGGAAGACAAATAACCTAATTTAAAAATGGGCAAAAGATTTGGATAGACATTTCATCAAAGAAGATATGAGTGGCCAATAAGTACAGGAAAAGGCGTTCAATATGATCAGTCATTAGGGAAATTCAAATTAAAATCACAATGAGATACCACTTCACACTCACTAGGATGGTTATAACCAAAAGGATGGAAAACAGCAAGGTGTTGACAAGGAGGTGGAGAAACTGAAACTTTCACACATTGCAGGTGGGAATGTAATGATGCAGCCACTGGGAAAACACTTGGCAATTTCTTAAAAAGTTAAACATAAACTTACCACATGATCCAGCAATTCCACTCCTAGGTTAATACCCCCCCAAATGAAAATGCATTCCTACACAAAAACTTCTGTACAAATGTTAATAGCAGCATTAATATTACCCCCAAAATCGAAATAACCCAAATGTCTATAAACTGATAAAATGTGGTATATCCACTCAATGGAATACTATTCAGCAATAAAAAAAAACTACTGATACATAGTACAATGTGGATGAAGCTTGAGATCATTATGTCAAACAAAAGAAGCCAGATGTTAAAGACCATATATTATATGATGCTATTTACTTGAAATGTCCAGATGAGGCAGAAAGCAGATGAGTGTTGCTTGGGGCTGGGAATATGAATTGACTACAAACAGGCACAAGGGACCTTTTTGTGGAGACAGAAATGTTCTAAAATTGGATTGTGGTAATGATTGCACAACTCTATAAATTTACTAAAAATAACTGTGCATTTGGAATGCATGAATTTTACAGTATGTAAATCATACTTCAATAAAGCTGTTTTTAAAAAAATGTCTGTAGAGATATGCAAGAAACTGGCATCACTGCCTCTGGGAAGGACAGCTGGGTGCCTGGGGGACAGCAGTAGGAAGAATACTCTTTACCAAATATTCTTTTATACACACTGAATTTTGTATCATGTGGTTATATTACCAGTTTAAGAAATGAGAATAAACACACACATAAAAACTTGTGAGGAAGGCTGTGGCAATGAAGATTTAATGAGTTCAACAGCAGTTAGACGTGTCAGGTCACAGAAATGCTCTAATCACTGAAAGGAAGGTGGTAAGCTGGTTTTGTCAATGTGCCCTGACCACCTGAAGCACATGCTCAAAGGGACATGTTTAGTAATAGGTTAGCAACAAATTTAGACCTAGGAAAGCTACCAAATTCAGAAAGGGGACTGGAAACCTTGACATGGGCGGGATGGTTGAAAGAGTGAAGACTTGAGAGAAAACACTTCAGGGAATGAAATGAGGGCCTGAGAGGGAGAGGACGAGATCTCTTTCCTATGCCTTCACAGAGCAGTTCCAGGAACAGAGCCAGGAATTCCACTGCAAAGAGATTTTGGATCTTTATAAGTTAAAGGCTTGGATAACTGGAGCCTTAGACAGATGGAACGAGCCACCCCATGAGCAGTGAGAGGTAGAGCTGCTGAGGCAGAGGCCCCTTTGGTGCAGATGCAAAAATACCAATGTGGGCCACTTTAGCCCAGGCAAGAGAGTGAGACTCTTTCTCAAAAAAAAAAAAAAAAAATACTAATGTGGTGGGAGTGGGTAGGGTCACAGCACTCCCATGGCCCCTTCCAAGCCCGAGATTCTGTGAACTTCCTGTAGTTCCAAAGTATACAACCGGTCATGGTATGCACCACAGGGTGTGAAAAATACACGATTACATTGGATTAAATGAGGAGGCTTGTTGTGTGTGTTTCTGTTTTTAGTTCAAATCCTTTCTGATTTAGTAATTCCTGCCTATAAAAAAGTCAGGGAGGCCGAGGTGGGCGGGTCGTTCTTAGCTCAGGAGTTCGAGACCAGCCTGAGCAAGAGCGAGACCCCGTCTCTACTAAAAATAGAAAGAAATTGGCCAAACAACTAAAAATAGAAAAAAAAAATTAGCCGGGCATGGTGGCGCGTGCCTGTAGTCCCAGCTACCTGGGAGGCTGAGGCAGGATGATTGCTTGAGCCCAGGAGTTTGAGGTTGCTGTGAGCTAGGCTGACGCCACAGCACTCTAGCCAGGGCAACAGAGCCAGACTCTGTCTCAAAAAAAAAAAAAAAAGTAATCATTTAAAAATAAATTCCCTCTCAACAAAATGTATTTATTCAGCCCCCTAGGATGGTGACAATCAACAGCAAAGGCAAAAACTAGTGTTTATTAGGATGCGGAGAAATTGAAATCCTCATACATTGCTGGTGGGACTGTGTAACGGTGCAGGTGCTTTGGAAAACAGTCTGGCAGTTCCTCAAATAGTTAAACAGAGAGTTATCATATGATTCAGCAAGTCCACTCTTAGGTATATATCCGAGAGAAATGAGAACATACGCCCACACAAAAACTTGTACATAAATGTTCAGAACAGTTTTGTTCATAACAGCCAAAAAATAGAAACCACCCAAATGTCCATGAACTGATGAATGGATAAATAAAATGTAGTATATAATATTATTTGGCCATTAAAAGGAATGAGCACACACTATGATGTAGATGAATCTTGAAAACATTATGTTAAGTGAAAGAAGCCAGTCACAAACAACTACATATTGTGTGATTACATTTATAAAAAATGTCTAGAATAGGCATATCTGCAGAGACAGAAATTAAATAGTGGTTGCCCATAGGCTGGGACAGAGGTAGGAGGTTGGGGAAATGAGGATTGACCGTTAACTGTTAAAGTGTACAGGATTTTGTTTTGGAGGGTGTTGGAAACGTTCTAAAATTAGATTAGGGTGATGGCTGCACAATTCTATGAATATACCAAAACCCATTAAATAAATGTGTTTATTCATGTATGCAAACAAATAAATGTGGACTATGAAGTCTTGTTTGGAGAAAAAAAGCTTATCATGCCCTATGGTCCTGCATCTCCTGTGTTACTGCATCAGGTATACAAGAACAATGGAAGGTGAACAAGTGTTGCTTTCATATAATGAAGAACAGATAATGCTAACCAAAATACGGGCACTGGATGCTGTAGCTGTGATGGAGAACTACACTCCAAAGCTAGAGCCAAGTGCAAACTGTCAGAATCACAAAATCATGGCATGTCATGTTGACTTTCATCCAGATTCATAACATGAATCACAATGCACAGGCCCACACTTGTGTCCAACAAGTTGTGCTGAGGGCCCATCATGGGGTAGAACTTTTCTCTTTTTTTCTGAATTCATTTACAGATGCTGTTGGTAAACCACAACGGTCCACCTTCCTCAGTCCATGGGGAGTCTCAGGCATCTCTTCTAATGATATCATCCCTCAGGGCGTGGGTGTGGATTAGCCCACTCAGTTCTCTGCAACGGAGCTTACACGTAGACTTAAGTGACTACAAGTTAACGGGCATTATCAGCTACCATGGTTTAAGCTTTCTGTTGCACATTCTGGGAAGAAGATACATACTGGCTGGCTGCTTCTGTTTTAATTTATATTATTATG